TTTTTTTTTTTTTTTTTTTTTTTTTCTTTTTTGGTCATTCTTGCCATTTTTACTCTTCATTTTTGTCTATTGTTGTATTTTGTTTCCTTGTTTTTAACTCTCCAGAGTCATTGGGAGTGGGGTGACATATAATTTTAATAAATAAATAAATAAATAATTCTTCATCGTATACATATAGACAGGGACATTGAGAATTGTACTGAAGACTGTTTCCCTGATTCTCTGCCAAGGAAGAGAGGCTATCTGATTCTAAAATTGAGTGTGACAATCCAGAAATAGGATATATTGTTGGTATTAACATACAAAAAAATACTAGTTCACACCTTGATTTGTTTCAGTGACAAGCAATCCAAGGAGATTATGGCTTGTTCTGGCCTTAATGGCTTTCTCCTCATTTCAGTGGGAATGGGCAAATAACATTCTCACATAGGTTGGCTCTTTCCATGCAGATCTTAAAGCACTTCATGGATTCTTGTGAAGATCTGATGATTGGGGCACAGCTGTAAAATGGGATTTCCAAAAGAAGCATGGAGAGACAGAATGCCTTCACTGAACTGAGTGTTCTTTTTAATTAAATTCTTACACATTATGGTCTCGCATTTATCAACCACTGAAATAATAATTAGCACTCTTGGGTTTTTTTCCCCCCATCTCAGAAAAATAATAACTGAAGAACAATTACATGAAAGTTTTCCTTTAGGAATGGATTTTTGTGGTTGATAATGTATGTAGCATTTCTAACCCCCCTCCTACACACACTTCATCACATTGATACTCCCTCCTTCAAATTCTTAACACAGGATTGAATTTTCTGGTGTTTATTTTACAAATGACTTTAACTTTGATGCCTGACACTCCATCACAGACTATACATTAATAGTATCCTTCATGAGCTCCGATAAGCCTTATCAGAGTGTAATCTTGATGCTCAGAGGAACAGCCATTCATTTTGCATTGCCCTGCTATTTCCCCTGTAGACAAGGGAAAGGGAAATGTCTGTCTGGAGAGTTCACTATCATTCAACACTGATGGATGCCCTAGTTTGCCCTTACAAGTTACAGAGCCTGAGATACATGTAAAAGCCAGCTTCCTGTCCCCTTTGGAGCGTGTTCGTTTCCAAAGTGCAGATAATCCGTCTAACTTTTATTTTCCGCTTCTAAAGACTAAGACCCAGTTCATGTGGGATATCCTGCCTTTCCTCTTTGCTCCTGGGGTTGTAGTGCATTATTGGTAAATGTGTATCAGCCAAGGAGGTTTACAGGGAGAAGGGACTTGCATGATCAATCTATTCTCTTTGGCCTTTCCATCTGGCCTCCTGGTTTTTCACCCAGGCTAGTGTTGCCTTGCTATGTGGCTTTATTTTTCAGTCCTTTCAGAGTTTTGATTGATTGATTGATTGACTGATTGATTGATTGATTGTAGCTACTCTGCAGTCCTTTGATAAAAGGTGGGTAATAAATCTTCAGGCAAATAAATACATGGTGCCATTGCAATGACAGTGCATATAGCCCCGAGCACTGGCTCTGGTTCATAGACTCAGTCGATTGAACCATCATCTTCTGGACTATTTGCCTGCTAACATCTGTGTGTTCCCTTACAGGTGTTGATGTGTGTGAAATGCCAGCTACCTGAATCAGGCCTGTCTTCCATACCATTGGTGGTATGTTTTCATTGTGCTGCCTGTTAACATCCTAAACAGTAATGAGTTCTTCTGCTTCCTTCCAGCTATATGTTGTCTTTTGGCAGTCCTGAAAGTTCCTGCCTGATTGAAATGACTACAAATGAAATTTCTTCTGCACATCAGAGGATCTCTTTGCCATCACAAATGACTCAGGTGAACTGGCAAAGCAAAACCTAAAATCAAATGTTAATACATCTATTTTAATTTCTCTTACAAAGCTCCAGAAACATACAGTGGTACCTCGGGATACGAACTTAATCCGTTCCGTGACTCTGGTTGCAACTCGAGTTG